ATATTCTGCTTAGTGGGTTTTTGTTCCATCCATGTCCAACTACATAATACAACAACAGCATTGTTTAAAGTATTTATTGTTTAAAACATATACCCTTCTCGTATATATATAGTATTTAACGTAGTAATGCTGCACATGTAAAAAAAATATATATATTTGTGCTTTGGTTCATATGGCATGGCATACGCTTTTTATTTTTTACTAAACAGTGTTTCAGTAATCAAATCATTTTAATAGATACATCGTACTTGAAGCACGAGTCTATCCCCTAGTATTTTATTACAATATTTACATATTAAAAGTATAGACGTTATTGGTTAGAGATGTTTATCATTTTGAAGCTATTAATAATATTATAAATTTTCTAGTCGAAATGTCTTATAATAATTAGCGGCCCCTGAAATGCAATTCTCTTCCATACATTACAGATCGCTATCCTTGTCAGTGATTAAGAAAATTTCATAGAATGAAACGATACACGTGTAATGTTTTGATTAGAGCATGTATGTAATAAAAATATTATGCTAAACAATGAGTTGTAATTATATAGAAATGTTTTATACCAAGGAGTATTCAATTTGTTTGTGTTTGATTTTATAAAGTTCTATAATAGGATGTTCGGAATTTCATCTGAACACCAGTAATATAGTTTGGACAGTCAAAAATATCCTGAGGTTAAAAAAAAAACTGAAATGGGCAGAGGTTTTCTATCAATGTAGGTTTTGGTGGTATTTTTAGCATCTTCTACGAATAGGAAATAACCTGATTTGTTTTCTTTTGACAACGTTTTGGTCTCTATGCATAAAATTTGAAGGAGATTCCTGATTTGTATTAATTGCTGATAAAAACAAGCTAAATATTTAGACTAAAACTAAACATCAACCTTATAGAGTAGGTAATTAAATACACTTTTAGTATGTTCTTACTCATAAAAATTGTTTCATTATAATTGACAAACCCAGTAATATCTTAAGAGATTAGGCCAGCTCAGTAATTCTTAAGTTATTCCTTAATACATGTGTATTAAGTTAACAGTGTAAAACAATCTCTATAATTTAACGATGATCGAAAAATAATAAAACTAAATATAATAAACATTTAAACTAACAATGCCAATGAAAGCAACTATAAAGAAACAATAATACCGAAACAAAAAAGATAAGAGATTTATCGTAATGAAGATAAACTTAGAATATGTCAATATGGAAATTGAAAGTGAGACACAACATAATAATATCGTTTCTTAACATAAATTTACTTAGAAAGCTGTGATTGACTAGTAAGATAAGAACATTTCAGAATAGAAAATAGTATTTACAACTTACTATAACTGTAGTTTATAAACCACGTTCTTTAAGGGTGTGTTTGTAAATCTGGCTATGAACGGTTAAGTTATTACAATATCTAAGAAAATAACGTACTTCTCCTTAGCCCACCACAGAAGACAATGTATTCATTAACAAGGCCCGATATAGCGGTGTGAATAGTTACTTATCCCCAGAGGGAGAGATGCTCAATGATGTGGAGGTAGTGTTCAACAAATACGTGTACAAAGAACTGAGGGATGCTGGTAAGCGAGTTTTAGTTGGTATTTATTTTGTTTAGAGACTCCAGGGCTCGGGCATGGCCATCACTAATATTGACCTGCTGATCAGGGGGATGATAATCAGTCAGCAACACCCAAATTTAATCAAGTAGCTCCGGGGTTAGTTATTTGATGTTTGTTAACTTTCATTTCGTATTGAAAATATTGTCAGACGCCTTTGATTCTCGCCCCTTAGTGGCACAGCGGTATGTCTGCGGACTTAAACCGCTAGAAACTGGGTTTCGATACCAGTGATGGGCAGAGACAGTTAGCCCTATGGGTTGCTTTGTGCTTAACTACAAAACAAAAATAAAATCCTTTGATTCTCCAATGAAATAAGATTTTTTTATATTCTCATGAGAGTATTGCCCATGATTGGGGTTCTCAAATAATGACTGTCTGCCCTTACAGATATTAATTATTTACCTTTTTTCAAGTATCTTGAAAGCTAAGGGTACTGCAACACTTACAGCATTTTCATCAACTATAGCAGTTTTTTAAGGCAGTGTATTGTTTGTTACAAAAACATATTGTTGGTAGCAGGCTCGCCAGCTACCCCTCTCAAAATTCCCTTAATTGATGGAAACAAGAACAATTCTCTATTTGCAACAGATTCCTCCCATAAGCATGCATATGACTTGAGTCCACAAGGACATAAACAGATGAGTATTGGACATAACATTTGAGCAAATGTATATATATATATATAGTATATATACACCCCCACCACCTCACATACACAAATTGTGGATTTTCCCCTCAATCTGGCAACCGTGGTTAGTAGTGAAAAACGTTATGCTTATGTTTGCTTGCTTGTTTGTAGTTAAGCACAAAACTACACAATGGGCTATCTGTGTTGTGCACAACACTGGGATCAAAACCCGGTTTTTTAGCATTATAAGACTGTAGACTTACCACTGGGAGAGGGAGCGTTATGCTTCTGATGAAATAGTGCAACAATGTAAAATTCATTAAGTATTTATTTGTTTTGAGTTTAAGCGCAAAGCTACACAGTGCCCACTTACAGGTATTGAAACCTGATTTTTAGTATTATAAGCCCACAACTTTACCCATGGTGCCACTGGGACAGGGCATATTCACTCATGGAAAAAATAAATACATTTTCATGAATTGGGAAAAATTTAACTTTAGAAAATGAAGAATTTAATATACAAAATTCCGGGTTAGTTTCATATTATAAGATAATAAAGCTATTGAAACTTACACAAGATCTTTGATTTTTTTTTACTTTTTAAAACCGAAACCTTATAGATTTCATACCTAGCATTCCAAACAGCTCTAAGAACGACTTTAAACACGCTTTTTCTTTCTTAAAACAGGTATATCAGTGAGGAATGTTCCATGGAGTCAAATGCCTATGTTATATTCATAATAAAGCACGGTTTAACAAATTTTGTTAATTGCTGAAAATTTCTCAAATTTAAAATAACCAGACAAAATAGATTCGAAGTTAAGACTTATTTTGTAGATAGCTGAGCATTGTAAATTATAAATTGTGTACTTCAGAAATATGAGGCTAAACAGGTGTTTTTTTGGATAATTTTGTCTAACAATATTTGGTTATTAGAAACTTTTATGATAAATTCACTAATCCCATTTTTTATATCTGTATGCATTGTAAAACTTTTTATTGATTTTTTTCTTAGCTTGTATCAGATAAATTAGTTATTTGTTTGTTTTTAAATTGTAATAATTGTTAAATAAATCTTATAACACTAAACATCTTACAGGAATCGATCATCTTTTATCTCAACATGTTGCACATCTTTTCATCCGTGAGCCTCTCTTCCTCTTCTCTGAAAACATCTGCCCCCAAAGTGAAGATGACATGTACCATTATGAGGTCTGATCATTTTCTCACTTCTAAATATCATCTTAAAGCAAACTAATTTCGTTTATAAGAATGTTTAGCTTCTTAGTAATGTATATTTACAACACACACACACACACGTGTACATATATATTCGTTTCTGGTTTCGGGACTGTGATAGAAAGAGGGGTCTCAAATCTTCATTTTGTGTTGAACATATATAGCTGGTATGGCCTGGTGGTTGGGGCTTTTAACTCGCAATCTGCGGGTTAGAATCCCCGTCATACCATACATGCTCACCCTTTCAGCTGTAGGGGCATTATACGGTGACAGCCAATTCCATTAGTCGTTGATATATTCGTTGCTGGTTTCGGGACTGTCATAGAAAGAGGGGTCTAAAATTTTCATTTTGTGTTGAACATATATGGCTGGTATGGCCTGGTGGTTGGGGCTTTTAAGTCGCAATCTGCGGGTTGGAATCCCCGTCATACCAAACATGCTCACCCTTTCAGCTGTAGGGGCATTATACTGTGACAGCCAATTCAATTAGTCGTTCATAAAAGAGTAGCCCAAGAGTTGGCAGTGGGTGATGTTGGCTAGCCTGGTGGTTGGGGCTTTTGACTCGCAATCTGCGGGTTAGAATCTCTGTCATACCATACATTCTCATCCTTTCAGCTGTATGGGCATTATACAGTGATGGCCAATCCCATTAGTCATTGATAAAAGAGTAGCCCGAGAGTTGGCAGTGGGTGATGTTGGCTAGCCTGGTGGTTGGGGCTTTTGACTCGCAATCTGCGGGTTAGAATCCCCGTCATACCATACATGCTTACCCCTTCAGTCGTTGACAAAATAGTAGCCCAAGAGTTGGCGGTGGGTGATGTTAACTATCTGCTTAATTATGGATGAATATTGTGTATCTCGTGTATTTTTGTGCAAAATTCTAAACAAACCAAACCTTGAACATATATAATAATGTAGAAGTGACGTACACTAGTCAAAAACGTCGCACTTTCTCTAATAGTTGTTCGAACACTAATCATCGAGGTTGGAAGAAATTGTACAGAATCAAATAGAGAGTTGTGTGTCTGTGATTTCCATTCTATGGGTATATTGCTTTTTTTTCAATAGAAGTGTTTCTTTGATCGTTGTATCTCGTATAACCCATGAAATGTGAATATTAATGGATTTTTAATTAACAAACAAATTACTCTGGGTCATAATTTATCATAACAAATTTATTAATATGACTAATATAGACAAGTAAATTCGAAACCTAGCTAATATTATCTACATTGAAAAATTAATCCCATCCAGGTGGTTTGGATGCTGATTTCCACTAAATGTTTTCTTTTAACTTAATCAATTCACTGATGAGAGCAGGAAGTTCAATAAATAATTAAAGATGTGAAAAATAGAATATTCCATAACCAAAGGCTGATGTCGGCGTGTGTCAACCAATCACCGGTAGGGATTCCCCTTCTTCTAGATTCCAAACAAAAGTAAAATATTACCCAGACTGTATTATGCAATGTGAACTATGACTCCACGAGTCAAAACACTTGTACTTTTGCCATTAAATCATCCAGACCGTATTTAAGGCTCATCCATCAAACTCTTAACAAGGCTTAACACAGTTTGATTCCTGATCCGGTCCAATTTACCATGATCGTTATTTCAGCACGATAATGCTTCCCACAATAAAAAAACAAACAAAAAAAACGTGCACTCAAGCCTGGTTTAAAAGTTCCAATATCGATGCCTCGCACAGAGCTCAATCTTAACCACGCACAACGTTTTTGGGACCAAATAACCAGATTATTTGAGAAGGTTAGACTATGGTCTTCTGTTCACCATTAATTGGCTTGTTCTTCTAAACAGATATTGAAACAAACTACACAAGGCACCTCTGACTGTATAAATATATAGATAAGTAGATAGGCATGTTTACATGCGTGCCTATCATGTATATGTGTATATTATATTCACATGACATTGAATAACCTAGCTGCCATCAAGTTCAGATATTTTAGATAGCAAATAAATAAAATCATTAAGATTTAATGTAGTGAAAATATACAATAATCCAATATTATAATACATTTCCTTGAAGAACAATATAAATTGTCAGAGTAACATGTAGCTTTTTAATTGTTTTTATTAAGCTTTTGGTTCCTCAGCTGATTATCAAACATTAAATTTAATTAACCTGAAAAACAAATAAATTAACCATTAGAACGAAACAAAACTTGGGTAGGACTAATATTTGTTTTCACATAGACGTGAACTCAGTCAACTTTCTTGTTGTCAACAGAACATTCACTCAACCAATTGGCAAACAGTGAGATTGAAGGTTCCTTCTCCTGATGGTAGCATTGGCTGGCGGGTGGAGTTTCGACCAATGGAGGTTAGTAATAGTTACTTCGTGTTGACTGTAAGAGCGACTATTGTCTAATTTTGATAAGGTACAGAACAGCTAAAAGTAGGATATAAGTGTTAAAATATGTCATGTATCATAACGATGATGTTTGGTTAATGCCGATAAATTCACTTTAGCTGTTTTTGTGCTTTATTAATTACCAGTATTTATTGGTTATTTCCAGAACTTCAAGTACTGTGTAATTTTAAAGTGAATTTACTGACATCAAAACTATCTATCACTATGATTGCTTAGTTTGGACTATATTGCACCATTTTCGATGTTTCAGCATCTATTTCTGAGGCCTTTTTATACACATGGTTGAACGAAAAGTACATAGAGATTAGCTTTGTTCTGTGTGTGAGGATTTCATAAACCACAAGTTGTTTTGTTGTTGTTTTTTTAAATCACACTAACCAGGCCCGACTTTAAGGATAAGCAAAAATGGCGGCTGCCCATGGCGCCAGTTAAGCTATCACTAACTCTAACTTCTATCAGAGTGCAGGTTGGCCCTGTGTTAGAGCTCTAGATTTTGGAGCAAGGAAGTTAGGCTCAAATTTGTTCAATGTCTCAAAATATCCCCCCCCCCACTTTAAACTATGGATGCGTTATAAGAGTGACAGTCAATTTCTTAGCGTGGGTAGTAGGGTGCTGTTTACTGAATGCTTTTCCTCTGGCCAGTAGTTCAAAATTAGGGACATAATATAAATACAAGACATTTAATCAATGTCGATTTAATCAAGTCACGTTGTCTTGTGTAGTTCTGTGTTTAAACTAAGATTTTACAACAATCTTAACATTTTATTGTAATTATACAGTGCTTAACTTTAACCCTAGAACTAGTTGAAAATAAATACTGGACCTGATGTACCAAAAATCCGCGAAACGCTTATCAGATCACGATTTTATTAAATATCCTCTAAGCCCTGGCAACAAATGTGATGTTAATATAGTTAGATAACTTCCTAGTTTCGCCAGATTTTACATCTTAAAATATGAAATCTGGCGAAGCGAGAAAATTTTCTAGTATATTATATGCAGTAAATACAACATTCAACCCGACTGTTTAACACTCTCTCCAATATTTCATCACATTTCATATCTCATCATTGAACTATTTAATAATCCTTCAAATAATATTTCAGGTTGCCTTTTGACTGTTCTTGAGCGTAACCAGTTTTCTCTGGTATTGAAAGAAAGTTTTTCTAGGCAGAAAAAAAAAGGGGGAATTTTACATTTATGATCTGCAGTCCACAAGGCACCAGAGGTTGATACAAGATACGTGCCTAAAAGAACGTTTCCTGACCTTACACCACCCCTTATATCTCCCATGGAGAGGAATGTAACAATGCATACATTGTGGAAATTTGGGATCACACGTAATCGTTACTTATTAACGTAGGTCTCGGACCTACGTTAATAAGTAACGATGGAATCTCACGTTATGCGAGACCTACGTTAATAAGTAACACTGGACTCTCGCGTTATGCAATTGTCCAGACAGACTGACAGGTGTTGTTGAAGATGATGAAGTAAGACATCGGACTCTCATGTGTTACGAGACCTACGTTAATAAGTAACACTGGACTCTCGCGTTATGCGAGACCTACGTTAATAAGTAACGCTGGACTCTCACGTTATGCGAGACCTGCGTTAATAAGTAATGCTGGACTCTCACGTTATGCGAGACCTGCGTTAATAAGTAACGCTGGACTCTCACGTATGTTATGCGAGACCTGCGTTAATAAGTAACGATGGACTCTCACGTTATGCGAACAGTTTTGAACATCCACATTGCCAGACATCGGCAGGACAACCTTTTTTCTCCATTTATAAAATAAATGTTTTAAAATACACAATGGACAAAAAGTAATGCGTGTAAGCCACTGTTGGACTTACCTCGTTGTTGTTTGTTATGAAACACAAAGCTACACAAAAGGCTATCTGTGCTCTGCCCACCACTGGTATCAAAACCCAGTTTCTAGAGGTATAAGTCCGTAGACCGTGCCACTGGAGGGCTTCTACTTCATACATAAATTTAGCACTATGAAATATATCATTCTCCCAATGACCGAGTTGTAACTTTAGAATGTATAATCGTAAAACAAAGGTTTCTGCCAATGCGGCGGACACGGAGCAGCTAGCTAAAAAAATACCCGAACGATTCTTGTTTAATAATACACGTATAATTAATATTTTAGTTAGGAATATTGTTTTATAGCAACACTATTTAATGCGGAATGGGATCTGTTGCTGTAACAATTTTGGTCCCAATAACCTCTGTAATGACCATTCACAGATGACGTCAAGGCACTGTATATTTTCTAACAGTTATGTACATGTGTTTTTGTTTAGTAATTAAATATGGTTTTTGTATGTCGGGCTAATAGCGAAGATGGCACCTCTGATAATTTGTTTTGAATTTCGCGCAAGCCTACACGAGGGCTATCTGCGCTAGCCGCCCCTAATTTAGCAGCGTAAGACTAGAGGGAAGGCAGCTAGTCATCACCACCAACCGCCAACTCATGGGCTACTCTTTTACCAACGAATAGTGGGATTGACCGTCACATTATAACGCCTCCACGGCTGAAAGAATGAGCATGTTTGGTTGGACGGGGATTGAACCCGCATATTGCGAGTCGAGCACCCTAACCACCTGGCCTCCTCTAATAAAATCAGCCATTTATTGTTTCCTTCTTCCGTGATATTTAAAAGCTAAATATATCCTTTTTTTTTTGCAAAATTCCTCATAACTTCAATACCTACGTCACACTCATTGATTTTACCCAGTGAATTATACATATAAGAAGAATTTCGCTTAATGTAAAATTTCCTTAACATTTCTCGTATAGTTACAAAGATATTAGAAGTTCTAATTTTAACGTAATATTGATAATTTTAAATATATGTTGACAAAACGTACACGTATCCAGGGAGTATTCAGTTTCTACGAACAAATCGTAGTTATTGATATCAATTAAGTTGTAAATTAAAATGGCATATTTGTTATTGCGGAAGAATTAGAAAATACAATTTGACAATAGTAATTATCTGTCTAGAAGTTACCATATTATAACATTGTTGCTTTGAAATGAATGGGAACCATTTGAAAATTATAGTTAAAATGTTTGGTCTTTCAAGTATTTTGTTTCTCTCTCCAATTTTTTTTTTCCTAAATGTTATCGAAAATGAATATTTTACACGATTAAAGTAGCATTAAATAATGCACCTAAAGTAACATTTTCTTTATACTTTTCATATTCCTAATTTTTTCTTTTAACTAGGTTCAGCTTACAGATTTTGAAAATGCAGCATATGCAGTGTTTGTCATGTTACTGACAAGAGTTATCCTCTCTTTGAAGTTGAATTTTCTTATCCCAATCTCAAAGGTTGGTTCTTCTAATGCTCATCTCACACAAGGACATGTAATTAATGCTTCTTTACTTACCAGTCGTTAGACTGAACTTAGGGATACCGACGCCTCAGAATCAGGACTATTTTTTTTTTGCACTCGAGTGAGTTTAATCGTGTAATTTACGTATTAATGGTTAATATCCCAGTTGAGATGCTAAATTCTCTGCCTCCTTCAACACAGGACTAGAGTTACCGTAGATGATACAGATCCCTATATCGTATTTTATATATAATTATTGCTCATATAATTCTCAGAATGAGTGACTAGTATCACTTTATTATTTTTAGGATTTTTTTTTCCAACTTCCATAAATTCTTGCTATTGGTTATATACGTGAGGACTTATAAGCATATTCATGTTTTGTGTGTTGGTAAGACGGACCCCATAAACAAATAACTTGGCGATTTATATGTTTTGTAAGTTTGACAAGCTTCATTTTTCTTGGCAGTTAGTTACAGTAAATTCTATTGGTTGTAATATTGATAAGTCTCGAATAAAGTTGTAGCAATTCCCTTTAACTATGAAGATAATTTAGTGTATGGTTTTAAGACTGGCCTATTATTTAAAGCTAAACAAACGTCATTTGGTACTATTGAATTACAGCCAAAAATATCCCAGTAACGAAGGTACGTAACCAATGATTCAATACATTCCACTTAGTAGAAATATTACTTTTATGTTGTATTAATTTATGACATTATGCACTTTTACTAAGCTAAAATTAATGTGGTGAAAATTATGTTTTGGTTATGATCTCTCTAGTTTATTTGTTATGAACCACACGTTATTATTAATTACTTGTATGTTTTTATTGTTGTTGTATTCAGTAGTGTAGTGCTAAATAAAGAAGTGAAATATACTACATGAACGTGTAAGGAGGAATTCGGTAGATTATTTTTTTAAGAGCAAAGCCACAATGGGCTAGCTGCAGTGTCCACCGCGGGAATCGAACACCGGACTTTAGCGTTGTAAGTCTGTCAAATTGCCGCTGCCCCACCGTGGGATGATTAATTCGAAATGGTGGCGGTATAACATTCTGCCTTCAAAAAAAAAGTACAGGCAGGCCGTGTCCACACGTTCCTACCCCTACTACACCTCGGTTTGTATTTGCTTCTTCGATTACCTTCTTTACATGCGGCTCCCTGAAGTATTAATCGTTTATAATATCTACACATTAAATTTTGGATTTTAATTTTCTACAAGCTTTTCCAAAACCTTGTAATATTATATACATAAATACATTGTTATCCAATTTGCTCATCTTAGCAATAGAACTCTTGATTTTTTTTTTTAGTAACTCTCTATTAATTCAACACTTTTCTCTTATTTTGTATGCGTTCATTTTTTACTGTGCTTTATTACTTGCTTTGTTCTCCTGTGGGTCAGCGGTAAGCTTACGAACTTGCGATGCTGAAATCCGAGGTTCGATTAGTCGCGGTGGACAAAATGCAGATTGCTCATTGTGTAGCTTTGCGCTAAAAACAAACTTAATTTCTTTACGGTGTTTAGTAAAAAAAATGGTCGGATATTCGCATCGGAAAGTTATCTGTAGAAGGAATTAAAAGTTTCAAGAATATAGTTTCTTTCACATTTCTGTGCTTCTAGTTTTAAAATCTGTATTCGAAGTATTTCACACTCCTACTACACCTTTTCATATCTATTAAAGGTGGATGAAAACTACGAAGAAGCTCAGAAAAGAGACGCAGTCAGATCAAGAACTTTCTGGTTTCAAACAAACTTCATGAAGGGTGAGTTAGTTTTAAGTTATCGTAATATATATATATATATTATAATCAGGCCCCCTCAGAGGTTCAGAGTCACCTGGCTATAATAAAAAAAAATGATGACACATGAAAACAAAACAAGACCATCATTAGCCCAAAAGAAAGGTGAAACAATTTAAATATTTTTTTATCTAACATATATTTATTAATTTCGAAACTTCATAAATGCAAAAAAATAACAAGTGTCTAAACTTGAGGCACCCTTTGAACTTGAGGCCTGGGCTAAAAGGCCCTCCTGGCATCCCCTCTGATTGGTCCTAATTATGATTAAAGTACTTCAACATACATTATGGTCCCAAAACGTGTAGACTGTAAATCTGATAGTTGACTTTTCAGTTCTCTGACTAAATTGCATTTTTCTTAATTTCTGATTTGCTTGTTATTTCTATAATAGATCTCTACACCCCCAGGACTAGCTTGTAAAGTGATTTTAGCAGGTTATCATTACGTTATGATGATGCCAGTTAACAGTGACGAAAAGTTAACTGGCCAACTAGATTCTATAAGTTAGTCACAATATTTTTTCTTCTTCAAATGTTCTTATTAGTGTATTAATACATTATTGTACTAAATAATGGAAAAATGTTTGAGCAAGTTTATTTTAGCAACACATGATTGAAGATGAACAATGTTTTGCTGTACAATACAATAGGTTTTTCAGCTGTTACATTTATTTAATTTACTAAAGTGTTTGTTTTTACATTAAATAGAGTTGATTTTGATGAAATGTTAGACACACACCACAGATATATATATATATAATTATGTGCTTTATAGATAAGAATGCATCAGAAGAAACATGCCATTCTGATGGATCGTATGCCAAGATGACCATGAATGAAATAATTAGTGGTAAAGATGATTCGTTCCCAGGCCTTGTTCCTTTAATCCAGAAGTTCTTGTGTAGTGCAGATGTTGAGGTTGACACACTTCATACATTACAAAAATATCTGGAATTCCTACAACATCGTGCCTCAGGTAACAATATCTGTGACTTTGGTTTAGATATTAGGATATAATGGACTAAAGTATAAAACATCGTTAATTTCAAGGAAGTATGTATCATGTCACGCTGTTTAGAAAAAGGTTACAAGATTATCATTCTCACACTCTGTAAATTTTTTACCAACTGCCTCCCTTGATAGCATCCAGTAAAAGGATAAAGATAAAATGTAAATAACAACAAGTCTGTTTTACAAAGGTTTTACTGTGTGGTTAAACAGAGAGAAAGGTATATCTTCAACACTGAGGCAATGTGAAAAAGTGGACCAAAAAGCTGTTTATTGTTACTGGCAGTGAAGAAGCAATGTGAGCTGAGTCGACAGCTGATTGTTTTTCAATACAAGTAATAAAACTCAATGATGTTTCTTCAACAACAAAAAAAAACAACACACACACACACATAAAGACGTTCCTGAATTTCACTCAGTCATTGAACTACTGGCTTATAGTCCAAGACTTTAGCCTATGCATACCAAAGAAACGAACGACACCAAGAACAGAGAACAAAAAATTTCAGAATTATTAGAGTTTATAGATTGAACATGACATCTTGAGGTAGTACCAATCACAAATATGATGATAATCTGTTCTCCTAAAGATTGCCTTTATATCAATAAGAAAGAACCTTTTGAGTAATTTGGATACATATAATGTATTAAATGTTCAAGAGACTCCACATATTAAAGTGGCAAGTGCTAATTCTATTTGAAGCAAATAGGTGTCTCAGTTAAAGATAGCAATATTACAGTAGTAGTAATTAAATAACCCGTGTTGTTGCTAGGTCAGCAGAATCACATCTTGAACAGTGGACAGTTCAATCCACATCCCAACACATTACAAAAGATTACACCCAGTTCGTGTTTTCAGGCTTTTAGGCTTAGGAAACTAGTTTATTTTATAATGAGACACAGCCATTCAACATCAGTCATTTCTAGAAATAGGTAGTTTTTTCAGCAATAATACCAAGCAAGTTAAAACATTTGTGATATACCTTATATGTGTATTCTGCATAACCCTTACATTTTGATTCCTCAAAACATTTTTATGTTTATATGAAAGAAAAAAAAAAATCACAATATAGTAGTTCATGGAAACAAATAAATTATTAATGTTATTGGATTTGTAACAAAAATATAAAACTATTTTTCTATCCTTATGACCTCTGCAAAATTTATAGAAATTTCATATTGAAAATCTTTACGTTATCATTATTGTTTTTACATTTTCACTTTGTTTAGGTAAATTACTCACAACAGCCCAGTGGATTCGTGAGTATGTTCTTGACCATCCTGACTATCGACAGGATTCTGTGGTGACCCAAAGGATAAACTATGATCTCCTGTGTACAGCCAACAGAATTCAGAGAGGTGAACTCAAGTGTCCAAGGCTCCTTGGATCATCTTAACCTTGAAAGAAACAAGTTTTTTTTGCTTTATAACATGGAATATAGAATTTATAAACATCTCAGTAACTCACTAAAGCAGGGGTCTCCAAATCATTTTGGACATTTTGGGAGGTAGATCTTTTTAGGCTTCGCAGGCCAGAGGGGGGTCATGGTAAAATTAAGTAGGAATGCATACATGATCAGAATACAACATCACTAATTTATTTCTCAGATCAATCACTTCCATTTGAACTTCAGGTGGCAGTTCATAAATAACACAATCATATTGGTTTTGGAAGATCCTTATTTCTGTTGCAATCGCATCAAGATCAGAAAAACGCTTCTTGAACTGTAGTTTCAGGTCAAAAAGGATATCCCTGCAAACATGCGTGGGAATTTTTTGTTTTTATAATATTAAAAAATTATATTATTACTTTAATAGACTGTTGGCAGGCTGGATAAACCGAAGTTGTTTGGAGACCCCTGCACTAAAGGATTATGACTAATCTTTCCGAGGGTTTTTTTTTTTTGGTACAGCACACAAATGAAAGATATTTGCAATTGAGTATAATTCACTTTCAATTGAGTGAAAACTTTCCTGATTTACAAAAATGTATTGTTAAAAAAATTAACTTTAATTTTATGATAGGAATAATACTTTCTAAAATGGAGATACTCATTAATCATCACTTGATTTGTACAGAAATGAGTTTTTAATGTTAGGGCCATAAGTCATTCATTATAAATTCCATGTTAGAGTGGAATGCTACTTAAAAGAGTTAAGAGATTTCTTCAACATGTGTTTAGAGTCTTTAGAAAGGCAAGTGATACACTTACCTATGTTTTTGAAGTATGCATATACTTAGTACCCATGAGATGCTCTAAAACCAACTTCCCAGACCAGGTAAAAACTTATCTACGCAAGAGAGATCTAAGCAGTAGATAAAACTAGATGGGAAATCTTTCTAACCAGGAGAAATATATGGGACACACTGACCTAAAAGAAAAACTGCTTCATTCTGAAGCTTAATTTTCCTATTTGGTAGAACAATAAGTCACTGTATTTACATAGTCAAATATCATACACCTAATGAAATCCTTTCATCAGATCATCATACAATATACAATGAACTTGACTGATAATCTTCACACTGAGCCCAAGAAGAAATAATCAAGAACAAAGACCATTATGAAGACTCTGCATTAGCTGAGAGATCACACAACCTTTAGAGAGTGATAACAAAATGCTATACAGTTTATTTTTTTTATTCCCTTCCAAAGGTATCAGTGTTTTAAAAGACGGTGGGGAGACCAATTACGTTACAAAAGTAAAAACCTATGGCAAACAGTATAGATTATTCTTCACCATGATTGGCCAAGAGCATACTGCATCCTATAAAATATTTGAAGCTATTGTCTTGAAGAGCCAGCCAACATATCACACGACTGTTGGCTGGTTGTTGAGGCTATTGCTGTACATGCATGACTATGCATAGAACTTTGTAAGTAACAATATAATGAAATTTAGGCTTAATTACAAACAGTTTTCTCAATCCTGTAAAACAGTTGCTCACATATTTGATCACACAAGATTTCAGTTACACATGAAGAGCTGCAGAAAAGAACAATGAGAGTATGACTGGATGAAATGTCTGAAATCTTATTAGCATTTTATGTTGAAGTAAGTTTATTTTACTTTGTAAACATATAAAGAGTACAATCCTTTTTGTACTCGGATATTCATAGATAAATTAATTGAATTATTTAGGCACAATCTTTGATTAAATTGATCATTTCTCTTAAAAATATAATCACCTACATAATGGTCCTAAGCCTTTCGTAACCATGTTAACAGTACTGATGTGTATAGACAAATAGGCTTCATGTTCTAGTAAAACAAAATAGAAAGGAGGACAGAATAACAATTAATGACTAGTAATTTTAGGCAACAAATGATTTGATACCAGTCAATATTTGCATATTATGTGACACATAAATGTTCAATCATGGATGTTCCAAAGTAAGAAATGACAAAATACAACCTTAGAAGTGAGTCAGGTATATTACAATAGAATCAAATTTAAATGAAGAGATAACAAAAGAGCAAGTTCAGTAATAAATCAATATTTTAAACCACATCAGAAAAAAAAAATTGACTTCAAATCTCAAGGGAGCAGAACAAATTTTAGACAAGAAGCTGAAAGTTTCAACAAAAGCTTACATAAAATGACAACCTGCTGTCAAGAAGTAATAACAACAACAAAAAAATCAGCCAATTGTAGGGAGAAAGATAGCAAAAACTAGAGCATAGCTTCATAAAAGTAGCTTCAAATATTCAGCTAGATTCACTAAGACTGCTAAACCATTTAATGGAAGAACAGAAGAAATGGGTAAACAGACAAGCAATATTTAAGTACATATACTGTTCTTTATGCAAAGAACCAAGTTAATGTCAGCCATAATTCCTGGGTATTATATACTTTGACTTACAGGGTATTCCAAAAGTAATTTCCAATTGACTGAATGAAAAAATGGTACAGTTCTAAAGATATTTATTCCAGATCATCTTCACACCTACATCAGTGCTAATATAAAACACCAACAAAGAGCTCAGAAATTCACATTAATTTGTTCCATGTTAAAATAATACCCAACTTTTGGACACCTTGCAGATTTAATGTGCTCCAGCTGTACAAAAGATATCACCAAGAAAAGAAACGTTAGAAGCAGAAACAGCCTTAGCTAAACCAGTAACACCCGATAAAATATAATATATTGAAGTGATCAGCACATAAGGACTGTTTGGATCAAGATAAAGAAACCTTGTAACTTAGGTTGGCAATATTTCATCAGTGCCACATATGTCTCTCATTTTTAGGTAGCAGGTTCCAATCACCTGCATTCATGGAGGAAGGGAGGATTTTAGTCACACTTGGTTATCTTCGTAATCATGGTCAGACAAACATGTCCAGTCTCCCTGAATAATAGCGAGAAAAAGAATTATTAGAAATGTTGCAAGTAATCTTATAAAATTGGATGGCCATACAAATTCCCACTATGAACCACATGGCATCGTGAAGTTTAAAAATGCTTTGAAACTTAATGAATTTAAGCCACAGTTTTATTGATAACTTGCTGACAAACCTCTTCAATGCAAGAGGAAGAAACGGGGGAGTTCAAATCCAAATGCCCATCCCTCTATGTTACTCCTCAGAGTGCCTTAAAGGTACACACAAAGTTTGGCAACAATCAATCCAGCATTTTCCCAGTTATGAGCACACACACACACTTTTGCCAAGTAATAGTTTAGATTTTGTTCATGAAAATTAGCTGATACTTTTCGATTTTTGCAGCATACTTTATTATAGTAGCCTTAGCATACACAGGTCAATGTTTCATATATTTTAAGAAAAAGGTGACCATTCACTTACACAGTATTTCCATGGATAAGTCCGATGTTTTACAAATTTTTTTACTAAGAATAAATAAATAAATGATTATTTAGACATTAATTTGTACGTGTATTAAAAGTGTGATTGATTTGAAGAATAGAGCCTGAATGAATCTCAACATACATTAATAGGAAAGGCTAGCAGTTTTTGTATCTCGGCAAGGATTTGGTAGTGCTATGCTCAATTGTCTTGAGAGTCATCAGTATGATGTTTCTCTTCTCCTAATCAACTTTTCCATTTATTTCAATTTTATTAGTAACAATTTGTTTAAATTTTATTAACTTGTGTGTCCTTGGTTCATGATTAGTTGTTATACTCATTAATTGCGAGTTACTAATGGCAATCTACTGAAGCACTTTTTGGTTGAACACTTGTTTTATTGACTCGTATTTTAGTACATAAAGTCATGGTTATTATAATAGAATTATTAAATGCCAATCTTAAGATTCTTGAAAGTTAGAAATGATACTAATATATAAATGTTAGTAGGGTTAGTAAGATGAGTGTTTTAGAAGTAAGCGAGGTATATAGTTACATCAAAGTAATCCCAGTCATTTTCAAGATATTCTTCCCATAACTTTTTGAAAACGTAATGCATAAGGAAAGAAGTTCACTATTCAATAGGTTTTATCTTGTTTGAAATAATAAATTATTTCTACTTTAATTATACAAATTTATTTAACTTTACAATTGAAATGTTTTATAACATCTACTGTTTTGAACCTTTGGTATTTATTTTAATACTTACATTTCAATTAACTGCTGACAGACGTCTATACCGTTCACTTTGTGAAAGGTGGTTATTCAATGGCTGTCTGTACAGTTCATACTGTGAAAGTTAACAAATGTGTTGAATCTCAAATTCCATACATTTATTAATAATATATAAAAAAATTGGACCTTTTTTGGCATTATATGTGTTAATTGTATTCAGTAATAACATTCTTCTCGCTTAACCAACTAATTACTTTTTGAAGAAAATTAAGCTGTTTTTAAGGGGTTAATTTCATATATAGATAATATACATGATCAGAACTCCAGATTCTATAGTTGTTTTTTCAGAGCTGAAAAGTTCAACAATTAACGATGCATGCAAGAGACAAAAGTGAAGGAAATATATCCAACCAGCATGAAAACAGCTTAGTACCTTTCATGTTTTTACATACAATATCATTAAAATGGGATAATTACATGAAAAGGCTTAAGTGGTAATTTTACCCATTATCAACAACTCTTGTAAAGTAGAATATAAATTATAAACTTCAGATGTAACAGACACAATTTTGGGAAAAAATAGAATAAACCTCTGTGTAATGGAACCAAAAATGACAGGATCTCGAGTGGATATTATTTCTTCCAGGTTTCATAATATATATACTAAATATTTTAACAAAATATACAATTCTTATTTAATCTCATAAAACAATTCTAAACTGAATATTTCACTAATACATCAAACAATATACAAACTACAGCCCCTGAAAAAAATACTCCCCCTAAAGATACTTTTAAAAAAACAAAACACTTGTGGACCACACATACACACACACATGTCACTAACAACTATTCAAGTTTTCAGCACTGGCTGTTAAAGGGTTTTATAAAAATGTAGAAAGTTTGTTGAAATGCTCCTAAACATATTCACATCTGTAAGATAACAGAAAAAAAATTTTTGATCTTTATTCACCGATGCTGTAAGTCAATTTCCTACTTTTCTTAATGATGTTCAATACAAAAAACTTTATACATCACATTACGACCTTCTTAGTATCCATTAATAGTCACCTAATATATAATCAAATGAAAGATTATCAACACTTCACAGTTCACACTTCGTAATTGAAACCATTATCCCTTCTCGTGTCTCATCCATTTTATTCTTTAATATTCCCTTCTCGAAAGACTCGGAACCTCTTAAAACTATTGTGAATAATATATTTCAGTGAAAAACCCAAATCTTCTTTTAAAAACCTAACAACTTCTTTTCTGAAACACATCTTAATCTTATATAGATCCATAATTCTTTGATTGATCTTCAGGAACTTGCAACAAGGTATTTTCCTCTTCTGTCATAATTTCACTAATGCTACTGTCTGGTTCAACAACGACTAGTTGCGTACTGTTATCTTTACAGAATATCCATGGTAGAGTAGCTATGATAGCCTGCAATAACACAATCAAGGGAAAATTAAATTTTTAATACAGTTACTCATAAAGAAAAGTAAGCAACTATAGTAATTTAGAACTAAGTTTCTAAAGTTACTACCAAAATTTAAAATTAGACAGAATACAACGTATATTATTATTATCTACAAAAGAAAGATCTGAAACAACTTTTATAAATGATTCAAAAATAATTAATATGTTGTAAGACCAATAACTAAAGTTTAAATATCCAAAGCAAAAGCTAACTTAATACTTACAGTAATTCCTGAACATACACCCATAACGGATGCTGCTAATGGAAAATCCAAAAGATCCGAGAGCACTCCTCCTAGAGATGGACCCATAAATTCCCTTCAATAGAAATAACGTAATGTAAATAAATGTGGCATCCATCTTATAGAACTTGAATTATGCATTAACTATTATACATATTGTGTGTGTGTGTGTGTGTGTGTGTGTGTGTGTGTGTGTGTGTGTGAGAGAGAGAGATCTGAAAGTAGACACCGCAAACACAAAGAAGAAAAACAGACAATGCGTCTATTCCAAAGTTTTTTGTTTAAGTTTTCGAGTCTGATAACAATACTTCAAAGGTTGTATATATATATATATACTATCAATTACATTTCCGATCTAGTTTGATAAAATAAAAAAAGTAACATATGTATCCATCATCTATTTCACTATCAGTTACTGATGGGGCAATCTTTTTCACAAGTTTATCCAAAAACAGTCCTGCCATAATATTTTTTTACTACATTACTGAATCAGCTTTTGTGCGTATTTTCAAATGCTAAATAAGGAATATTATCGTTACTATAATGATTTGGTAATTTTAAAAGAAAGTGTTTCACTATTCTTCATCACAAAATAGTTGTACATGCAGTTACTACATTTGAGTAAAAATATTATAGTATGGCCCATAGCAAACCTTCAATAACAGAAAATTAATGTATAAGTGACACAACAGTCTAATGTTACAACTGTTACCAGTTGCTTTCATCATCATCATCATCATCAATGAACGTATGATGTAAAAGTTATTATAAAAGCAACATGAAACTGAAATAATAATCTTAGTATCTTTGTTAGAGGTTAAACTATGACTTAAAAATAAAGTTTAAGGGAAAAACAGATATACACACATGCATACACCATGAATCTAAAGATAGTTGCTTTTAATTGTACTGAAATTATTTTTAAAAAATTCCAAAATTGTTCACACAAACTGAAAAGTGTTATAATTTAAACCTTCTTATTTCTCCCATCCAGCAGCTTTATATACATTTGTCAGTAATTACAGTTCACACCAAAAATATAACTTACCCAAGAGAATACATTGTACCCCAAAGACCACAAACTACACTGTAGGTTCCCATGTCATCTTCAAGCCCCCCATTGCTATAACAAAAAACAAAACTTCTGGAAACAATGAACTGATGTTTCATATAACAACTACACACAGATTTTGATGCTGTAACCCAACTAATCTGATGATTTCTTCTACTTAACCAAAATATAATTGGAATGCTATTAATACATTTTTCATGTGTATTGTGCTAGTTAGTCATTTAAGTGTTAACCCTAAAATTACTGACTTGTTTACATAGTGTTCACTACCAAGAGGGGTGAACTTATTGCATCTCGCCGAGTAATTTTTTTATGTTTTTGCCTATTACATCACTCATTGTAAAGAACTGATGAAAACAATTGGGTAAAGTCACTCACTCCCTATGTAAAATACATAGGGAACCCCTGCAGCAGTTAGTGGGATTGAATATTGACAGTATGTTTTAAACATTTCTGTATAACTCCTTATTAAAGACCAAGTAACCAAGAATATCATGAACTCACAAACAACTTGGTGTATAAATATCTTAGAAAAATACACTTACTCACAAATGATCCATATGGTCTAACACAGGACATCTTAGGGTTAAAAATATCTGAACTCTTATGCTGGTTTCTCTTTGTTACAACCTTAAATCTAGTCATGATTTTTTTGAGATTGTAGTTTTTGTAATCACTGCTTCTGTTTTAATTAATTATATGTTTCGATATTCATAACTTTCAACTTAAAGAAGTAAAACGTTTTGTAGAAAATAAAGAACATTTGTTACACCAGCATGAAACCTGAGCACCTACTTGACATCTCACCAACTAACTAGAACAAGTTTCGTACCATTGACATACAAGCCAAAAACAAAATTTATATCAATCATTCTGTGAAAACTTCACGAGGAATGACAGATTTTCCCTCTTATTTTGAAAACACCTGAAGAAAAATTTCCAATTAGGTGCCTCACATAAGTGTAAAATCTCTAGTTCAAGCACACACAAAATCATATTTTCAATGTTTCCTTGAAATGCATTTAATCACATTAATGTTACTTATACATAAAAAAAAAAAAATTAAGTCATCTTTTGGTCAGCATCATTTTTTCTTTTATGGTAGTGCTTTGAGAGAAAAACGGATGAAATGCTACATTCAATAAATCTCAAATTTATAACTGATACGTGACTTTAATACCATAGTCCATTACAGCAGTTTGGTCAACATAAGTCATGTATAAGGTTTCTTGTTTAAATAAAGTCGGCAATTCAGTTAATAAAATTTCCCTCCTCATCAGTTTGGTTTTCATATCCGTTTAATTAATGACTTTCCTTCAAAGGAGTAGGCACAGTCACAAACTAAAGGAAGGAATAATCTAACAAACAAGCTTAGCAGTTCAAACTGGAAGTAAATATCCTTAATGAGGTAGGCGAGAAAGATACAAAAATTAAAGTATAAGTTACAAAAGTCTTATATATCATTTTGTTTCGAGAATATTAGTGCTCTGTGTTGGATGGTAAAGCTGAGGTTCCAAGTTTTATGAACTGACAATGAAAGCTGGGTCAAAATGTCATCTAGAAAGAAAATATATAAAACCTGGTGATTTTCTTAACTTATTCTTTAATTTCATCACTATTCCAGACTGCCATGTTACATCTCATTTTTTAGTATGCAACTTATATAATAAAATTAGGCAAAAAACTTTTAATAAAAGTTAACTGACCCAGAAGCTTCTCAATAAGATTAGATTGTTTTTTTTTCAATGGAAAAATTTACTTCTTAAATGTAAATCTTGTTTTTGTTGTAATTCATCCTTAAAAAATTTACACTAGTACTCAAAGTTGGCCATAATAGAATACATATTTTGTATAAAAAAAAAAATTATTCAAGGCAAAATTTTTTTCATGGTATATTTTTAATAAACAATAATAATTCTTTAGATTGTAAACAATTCAAAAAGTATGTACTACCAATATAAAAGATCATTTTTACAATAAAACAAAAAAAGAGGAATTTATGCACCTAATGATGTTAAAGTTAATTAAATACATTGTTAAAAACTTTGTCAGGAACAGGCAAAGAAGTGCTGATATTATAAGAAACTTTACCTTATACACTTACTGTCATAAAACTATTTTTGATTTATAATTCCATAAACTATTTATATTAATTGTTTTACCAAAAGATGAAAAACAGTGAAGCCCAAAACTGTACTTACACTGCAGCTTGAAGAAGGCATTCGAATGTTGGAACATATGCTAATGCTGAAGAGACACCAAGCAGAACTATGGACACGATACTCAACCACAAAGTGCTGTAAAATGAAATTAGCTTTAGACAATAACTTCTCAAAATAGGGAGTTAATTTTTTTATTCATATCAGTCTGATTAAACTAAACTTTGTTACCGATTCTACTAAGTACACCAGTAAAAAGAAAAAGTAACTAAGCTCTTCGTTTGTTTGTTTGTAGTTAAGCACAAAGCTACACAAGAGGCTATTTGTGCTGTACACACCACAAGTATCAAAATCAGGTTTCGAACATTGTAAGTCCATAGACTTACCACTAGGGTCTCGGCTCTTGGTACTGATGTCTTTTACTTCTTAGTATTTTTCAATTATTTAAGTTCAACCATTCCAAGTAATAAATTTTAATTTTGAAACTAAGTTATTTTCTGCAAAACTGTGATATATAAAAGATGAATAAATAAAACTAGGTATACAACCTGCAAGGTAGGAAGTGTACTTTACTGAGAGTCAAAGATACAAACATGCAGTCAGTGGTAGGAATACATAATCAATCAACTTTAATCTTATTTGCAAGCTTCATATGTGAAATGGGAAAGAAGTATTATGAGATGACATGGATTTTCAATCTCGTATCAAGAACTACTTCTAACTATCTACAATTAGTTGTAGTTTCTCCCAGTAAAATAGAAATGCAAGAAAGAAACCTCTAGTTCTTATTTGTTTTTCATTCTTAATTTGAAACATCGGGCTACCTAGATTTGAAAAAATAGGTCAGAGTTGTCTTTTTTTCAGAAGTGAATTTTAATTTAGAAGGAACATTATTTCTCATTTCCTCGCTACATTGTACGACATAATATCATAATCATGAAGTAGATTACTATAACTTTTTATTTTTGTTTACAAAGATAACATTTCTGATCCTAAACGGTCAATGTCGGATATTCACATGATGTAAAACTATTAGGTTGGAAATATACTATGAAATTAAATTTCTTAAAAATAAAACTGTCTGAAACTAAATTACCTCTTAAGTGGTAAGAATGGAGATGGACCCATAAATAACAAAGCCCCTGTCATCAGCACCAACCCAATCACCATCACTGGATACTTGTTATCCTGTAATGTTACATACAGGTTTACCTTTTAGTTGAAAACTTTAACATGAACTTTAACTTAACAATCTACTAAGTTTTCTTCCCTTACTGAATGAAACACAGATTGTCTTGCCCTAGTGAAGAACAAGTGTTTGGAATGTATACAATTTTATCCTTCTTAAATTATAATCTTTGCTGTAAATCTATACGAAATTTATAACAGAAGCTTTAGCAATGTTATATACAGCATTTATTCTCAAATCATTATCAAAATGTATAAGCCAGACTACTACTACACTCATTAAAATAGTACCTGTCAAATCATTAAATACAATGCCACAAAAGTCTTACCATTTTTCCAGACAGCCAGCCTACAAATGGTGCAAACAAAGAAAAAGCAGCAGACATCACTAAAAAAAGGACTCCAACCATATCAGCCTTTATCCCAAACTAAAAGTTAGATAATAAACACCATCTTAACACAACTGGATCAAAGTTTGAAACTTATTTCTGAATATGTATATCTCACGACTTTCACATTACAAAAAAAAAGTTAACCACTATACAATAAATTGTAACAAAATTTACATTCAAGTTCTCTCCTTACAACTAAATGTTTACCATTAAATCAGGAGTTGGGTGATTTAATCAATTACTTATGAGCAGCAATTACATCAGTTAATGTCATGTATACTAATCGATTAACTGAAATTACCACCAAACTTGTTTGCCCAGTCTTTGTTATTGTAAAGCTACTAAGGCTATCTGCTACTGTCACTAATGTTGAAATGCTGACCAGAGGGAAAGCAACTAGCTGGCAACACCCATCAACATTTTTTGGGGGGGTGAATGCACTATGTACCATCATTTGAGGAGTGCAGTAAAATCAATTAAGTGAATGTCATTGATTAATGGGGCCATCAATTAAGTTTACTTTTTCAATTCACTTAAGATTCTAAATATGTACAAAAGTTCAAACCAAAGTTTACTTTTTTTGTGGGCAGGAAATTAAAATGCTTGTACTGAAAATGGCAAAACAACACACTTCTTGTTAAGGTTTAGCTAAATTACTAAAGGTCTCCAGAAAACATGACAAAAGGGAATGAGATGGTGAAATTAGTGGTTTCTAAGATCAAACACATAGAAATGGAGCCACTGGCCTAGCAACACGTATGTTCACATCCATTGCAAAACAAAATCATTTAGTAAATCTATAAATGTTGAAGCATGAAGCATACCCTCCATCTACTGGAAAAGAATTCAAAGGATACAAGAATGCACGAATGAAAAGAAGTTGCGTGTGTGTGTGTGTGTGTGTGTGTGTGTGTGTGTGTGTGTGTGTGTGTGTAGTACGTAGTATAGTTAATAATATAAGTAGTATATAGTATAGTAATAGTATAGTATTAATTATAGTGGTGGTAGATATATATAGTAAGTTAGTTTATT